TCTATAGTCTAGTCTATAGTCTAGTCTATAGTCTAGTCTATAGTCTAGTCTATAGTCTAGTCTATAGTCTAGTCTATAGTCTAGTCTATAGTCTAGTCTATAGTCTAGTCTATAGTCTAGTCTATAGTCTAGTCTATAGTCTAGTCTATAGTCTAGTCTATAGAGTAGTCCTCATTAAAGGGACTAACAATTTGATTTTAATTCCTCTATACTTTGAAATGGGTTAAGGTTCCCTGTCATATATCCTTGCATTCTTTTAAATCCCATCTCAAGGTATTTGTTATTTATAGTTATTTCTATAAGTCTTTATTACATATGGGTGACGCTAGATCATTTCAAAAGAACTGCAGAACATTATATAAGCAACCAAATAAATACTAGGGTTATTCAACATTTACAACACACAGGACGATGATTCTCTTACTCAAGAATCTTGAAAAACAATAATCATCTCTAACGCTTTTGCTTACTATGACATTTTCCCCGAACCTTGTTATAGCCTGCTGTTAAACGTGTTGCTTGAATTGCTGCCACTGCCACATAAGAAATGAAAGAAGTACATATTTGCAATAGTTACGGTGGTTGTTGTTAAAAACTCTATACAAAATATTGGATGCGGAACACGTGCTATAGGTTTAAAAAATGGTAATGTTTGCAAAAAAAAAAAAAAAGTAGAAGAGGGCTGCCTGTAACACTATTTAAATTTACAAGATTTCTAAAACATAATGTTTTTCACTATATATAGTCTAGTCTATAGTCTAGTCTATAGTCTAGTCTGTAGTCTAGTCTATAGTCTAGTCTATAGTCTAGTCTATAGTCTAGTCTAGTCTAGTCTATAGTCTAGTTTATAGTCTAGTCTAGTCTATAGTCTAGTCTATAGTCTAATCTTTATGTCTATAGATTAGTCTAGTCTATTGTATAGTCTATTGTATAGCCTATTGTATAGTATATTCTATAGCCTAGTCTATAGTCTAGTCTATAGTCTAGTCTATAGTCTAGTCTATAGTCTAGTCTATAGTCTAGTCTATAGTCTAGTCTATAGTCTAGTCTATAGTCTAGTCTATAGTCTAGTCTATAGTCTAGTCTATAGTCTAGTCTATAGTCTAGTCTATAGTCTAGTCTATAGTCTAGTCTATAGTCTAGTCTATAGTCTAGTCTATAGTCTAGTCTATAGTCTAGTCTATAGTCTAGTCTATAGTCTAGTCTATAGTCTAGTCTATAGTCTAGTCTATAGTCTAGTCTATAGTCTAGTCTATAGTCTAGTCTATAGTCTAGTCTATAGTCTAGTCTATAGTCTAGTCTATAGTCTAGTCTATAGTCTAGTCTATAGTCTATTCTATAGTCTAGTCTATAGTCTAGTCTATAGTCTAGTCTAGTCTATAGTCTAGTGTATGTCTAGTCTAGTCTATAGTCTAGTCTATAGTCTAGTCTGTAGTCTAGTCTATAGTCTAGTCTATAGTCTAGTCTATAGTCTAGTCTATAGTCTAGTCTATAGTCTAGTCTAGTCTATAGTCTAGTCTATAGTCTAGTCTATAGTCTAGTCTATAGTCTAGTCTATAGTCTAGTCTATAGTCTAGTCTATAGTCTAGTCTATAGTCTAGTCTATAGTCTAGTCTATAGTCTAGTCTATAGTCTAGTCTATAGTCTAGTCTATAGTCTAGTCTATAGTCTAGTCTATAGTCTAGTCTATAGTCTAGTCTATAGTCTAGTATATAGTCTAGTCTATAGTCTAGTCTATATTCTAGTCTATAGTCTAGTCTAGTCTATAGTCTAGTCTATAGTCTAGTCTATAGTCTAGTCTATAGTCTAGTCTATAGTCTAGTCTATAGTCTAGTCTATAGTCTAGTCTATAGTCTAGTCTATAGTCTAGTCTATAGTCTAGTCTATAGTCTAGTCTATAGTCTAGTCTATAGTCTAGTCTATAGTCTAGTCTATAGTCTAGTCTATAGTCTAGTCTATAGTCTAGTCTATAGTCTAGTCTATAGTCTAGTCTATAGTCTAGTCTATAGTCTAGTCTATAGTCTAGTCTATAGTCTAGTCTATAGTCTAGTCTATAGTCTAGTCTATAGTCTAGTCTATAGTCTAGTCTATAGTCTAGTCTATAGTCTAGTCTATAGTCTAGTCTATAGTCTAGTCTATAGTCTAGTCTATAGTCTAGTCTATAGTCTAGTCTATAGTCTAGTCTATAGTCTAGTCTATAGTCTAGTCTATAGTCTAGTCTAGAGTCTAGTCTACATTTTAGACTATAGTCTAGTCTATAATCAAGTCTATAGACTACTCTATAGTCTACTCTATAGTTTAGACTATAGTCTAGTCTATAGTTTAGTCTACAGTCTAGTCTATAATCTAGTCTATTATCTCGTCTATAGTCTAGTCCACAGTCTAATTTATAATCTAGTCTATAGTCGAATCTATAGTCCAACCTATATTCTTGTCTATAGTCCAAAGACTAGACTATTATCTACTCTTTATTCTAGATTATAATCAACTCTTTATTCTAGATTGTAATCTACTCTTTATTCTGTAATATAGTCAACTGCTATCTGGACTTTAGTCCATAAACTCTACATTAACATTATGTTTACGTATTATTTCGCTTCATTATTTTACAATAACCTTCAAAAATACTACAGTTTGCAACCTCAGTTAAGTATTTTTCCAATGTCTTTGAAAAAACAAATCCTTTCAAACCTCAAACAATATAATAATGGCAACTATTCGCGCCAAATTCTCCTCCGAAAAAAAAGCAAACTTAAACAGGTTTGTTGCCTGTTTACTGGAGCAAGTACAATAAAAAGTTTGTGCATAAAAATGTTTTGCAACGAATAAAAAAAAACAACATTTTATTCGTGCTACATTTATTGCATAAATTATGAAAGAATAAATATAAAAAAGTAATCACAACAACAACAAAAATCACAAAAAGAACACGTTTTAATGCAATGTGTTGTTGGGTTTTTTTTGTTATGATGCTTTTTTTCTCATGTTTTGTTTTTGTTTATGGCAGTGTGAGTGCATTGTTTTGATTGTGTTGTTGCTGTTTTTCTAACTGCTGCAGCTTGCAGTAGCTTGTGGTGATATTTTGGAGCTTTTTGTTGTTGTTGTGGCTGATGTTTTGTTTGTTCTTCAAATGCCAGTCAGCCAGCAGCCAGATGTATGGATGTGAAATGCCCTTGTAATTTTTGTAGAGAGAATACAATGCAAAACAACAATAACAAAACCAAAAAATACAAACAATTCAAGTGCAAGTTCAATAAGCAATAAAAAAAAGAGCAAAATGTTAATGATATTATTGATTTATATTATTTGAATTTCTTAAAACAATTTGGTAAATTTGGCAAATAATTTCTTGCCTTTGTTTGTGGATACTTGTATTTATAAACAAAATGATTAGGCATATTTGGAAATTTAATAAAAAGTAGAGCAATTCTTAAATATACTATAATTTTAAGACTTACCAGTTTTTACTTTAGTATTTTAGCGACTTTTCTTATTAATATTTTAAACACTTTTAAAAAGTTAAAGGCACATTTATTTTTACATAGTTTATCAATTTGAATAAGTTTTTAACACTTTTTTCTAGAGTTTTTCAAGAGAATTTCCAAAATATTCTTTCTAATAAAAACACGCGTTTAAATAAACACACACTTGTCCAACAAGAATGACACGAAGAATAAACGAAAACAAGTTGGAAAAAGGGGGAAAAAATCAAAATAAGAAAACAGGGATGCCAAGTTATATAAAAAATGTATTCATATTAATATTGTTTTTAATAAATAAAGAGAATTAATAAGAATTTTTGTTATATGTAATCTATTGTTATTTTAGTTTTATAATTTTTGTTTATTTTTTCCTTTTTTTAACGAATTTATTGTTATTTTTCTTATTTTCTTCATAATGTATTTCACCATTTGATGTTTTTTTGTTATTGCTAAAGTTTGGCAACTCTTGTTTGTGTTGTTCTTAATGATTTTTTTTGTTTATTTTTTGTTTTCTTTATGCATATTCACAACACTACTGTTATTGAAAACAGAGTTGTTATATGAAAACATTACAGTGTTAAGAAAACAGACCAAAATTAATAAAAATAACCTTTTAATTGATTTAATTTTCAATATTGATATTTTTTATTAAAAAATTCATATGAAATGAAACTCTTTTAAAAGAAATAAAGATACAAGGCGATAATTTTAATATTTTGTTATATAAATTGTATAATATATAAAATAAATACTCAAGTTTTGAGTTAATGTTTCATTACCGTTTCGTTTCAGTGATGAAAACATGTTTTCAGCTTAAATTTGAGTTTGAATTAAGTGGTTTTCATTAAAATTTTAAAAGAAATGGAAAGAATAAGAGAAATTAAAATCGTTTATTGTTTAAAAATATGAATTTATTTGTTTATTGGGCTATTTTTGTATGGATGAAATGGAAATGTTATTTGATTCGAGATAATATAAACAATATTGTTTCATTCCTATATAATTTGACAAATAGAAGTAGAATATTTAAATATATTTTGTATAAAACAAATTTTTATTAAAAATTATTGATTGTAAAAGAGATCACTTCAAAAATTAACATTTTAAAAAGTTTTCAAAGACAATTAAGTTCTTATACATTTTCAATCTTTTGGGAAAAATCTTTCTTTTCAAAAAATCTAGTTTGGCAAAAAAAAAATTGTAATGAAAAAACAAATTTTTTATAAAAAAAATTGTTTTTGTTTTTTAATGTGAAAATCATGAATACAAAATCTAATTTTGTCTAAAAACACTTATTTATGAAAAATTTTAGAAAAATAAATTTGAAAAATTACATCTAAAATTAGGAATTTACTTGTTTATTGGATTATTTTGGAATAAATGTAATAAGAATGTAATGAATGATTTTGTTCCATTCCAATATAGACCATTTCAAAAATAGTAGAATATTAAAAAAAAGTTTTGGAGTGAAACATTTCTTAAAAAACCTATAAAAAAATCCATTTTAAACAAATTGTATTAAGAAAAATAAAATGATACTTTATTTTTTTACACAAATACATATACATATTAAAGTTATTTAATAAAAAACTATAAAGAATAATTTTAACAATAGACAAATATCTTATCATATATAAAGATAAACTCCTTACATATCTTCTACACTATACTTATAGGCTTCTTCCTGTCGTGCTCGTCTCTCATTCTGTACCGCAAAGTATTTCTTTTCGAAACCATTCGAACGATCTACACCATCCCAACGATAACCGGGACGAATGCCGAAACGATTTTCGGGAAAAGAGCCCTCATAGCGGGGAATTTGTGGTTTACCCGATTGTTTTTCTTTCTCCTTACGTTTTTGTCGCATATACTGTAGCATGGGATCCTCGGCTCTTTCCTGTTCTTTAAGATGTCGCTCGAGATCTTCATCGTTTTCGTAGCGAGCCAAAGGTTTACTGCTTTCATGTTCCTGCTCGAGCATGCGATTTTTGTGATCTTCGATTTGTTTGAGACCCTTGCCCCAACGATCGTAGAGTAGTTTTTTCTTTTCTTCGTGCTCCTCTTTGCGTCTACGTTCTTCGGGATCTTCTTCGCCAGCTTCTCTTGCTCGCCGTCCTTTACGACCGGTAGAACGCACCTGTACCTCGGCATTACGACCGGATACATCTGAAGACATTTTCTCGAAAAGTATATCTTCTTGTCTACGTCTTTCCAAGGTTTCCTTTTGTAGGGAGTGTGCATCTTGTAAACCGGCCTTTTTACCCTCTAAGGTACGGCCAGGTTTTGGTTTATGGGTGGGTGGTGGTGATAGACTTTTCTCTGGTTCTTGCTTTTCCCATCTAGAGCGCCGTTGTGGGGGCGGAGGCGGCGATAAGCTGGTCGAGAGTTTTTCTCTTTTTATGCGTGATGGCGGTGAAGTTTCTCTTCTTCTGCGGGGTGGTGATTGATCTGGTGAACGTTTTTTTGGAGGTGATTGATCAGAATTTCTTCTTCTGCGTGGCGGCGACTGATCAGGTGTTCGTCGACTTTTTCTGGGAGGTGATTGATCAGGGCTATTACCTTTTCTTGGTGGTGATTGGTCAGAGTCTCTTCTACGACGTGGGGGAGATTGATCGGTTGACTTTCTTCTTCGGCGAGGTGGTGATTGATCTGGTGAACGTTTTCTTTCATTTCTAGCTGGACTTTTGCCTCTTCTAGGAGGCGATTGATCAGAATTTCTTCTACGGCGTGGTGGCGATTGATCTGGTGAACGTTTTCTTTCATTTCTAGCTGGACTTTTGCCTCTTCTAGGAGGCGATTGATCAGAATCTCTTCCATGGCCAGGTGGCGATAGAATATAAGATCTTTTTTCATATCTTGCTGGACTTCTGCCTCTTCTGGGTGGTGATTGATCGGAACCTCTTCTGCGTCGAGGTGGAGAATTGTCCACGGAACGTTTTCTTTCTCTTCTTGGAGGTGATTGGTCGGGCGATCTCTTTCTTTCATTTCTTGTCGGACTTTTGTGTTTTCTTGGCGGTGATTGATCAGAATTTCTTTTACGTCTTGGAGGTGAATTATCGTCTGAACATTTTCTATTTCTTCTGGGAGGAGATTGATCGGAAGATCTTTTCCTTTTATTTCTAGCAGGACTTTTTCCTCTTCTTGGCGGTGATTGATCAGAATTTCTTCTACGTCGAGGTGGTGATGTATCCTGACGTCTAGCAGGAGACAGTTCTCCTTTTCTGTAGTTTGGTGACAGAGGTTCCTTTTTGATTTTATGTCTAACATCTGGAGATTCCTCATTTCTCCTACGTCTGGAAGGTGACTTTTCTTTTTTAGATTTTCTTGACGGTGAATCAGAATTTCGCTGCCTTCGTTCGGGACTTGATGAAGATGATCTACGTTTTCTTTCTTTTCTTCTAGGTGGAGAGTTATCAGGAGAACGTATAGGCTTTTTCTTGCCTACAGTAAATTCCTGCTTGATTTTCATATCGCCCGCCTTGCGGCCCCATAAATCTGATTCATTTTGCCGACTGTCAGCTCTATCATCCTCCGGCTCATCTTTTACAATACTTTTCCATTTTGGCACTTTACTATCGCGTGGATTTTCTTCTATATATTCACCCACTATCTGAGGAGCATCATCACCGGTCAGCAGCAATTCTTCATCAATTTCTGGTCCATTATCTAAATGATTTATATCATCGTCTATAATTTTAACTTTTACAGCAGATGTTGAAGATTTTTTGTGTTTCTTGTCTTTTTTCTTTTTCTTAACTTTATCGCCTGACAAATACTTTTTAAGGTATTCTTTTTGATCAATTTTCGTAGCAGAATGTGAAGACATTTATATTTTATTTAAAAAAATATCACAATGAAAAAATTTCTGAACAAAAACGTTTGTTTTGTTGAAAAATAGAAAAAAAAACACACGCTCTCTCACCGCCGACAAATATTAACGGCGGCGGCGAATGACACTAAATATGACGGCGGCGGCTTAAAATCGACTGTAAGCCGGCTAAGTTTTCAACTACGTTTAGTTTTAAAATTTTCAACGATTTTAAATAAAAACGGAATCTGAGAGATCAGAAAGTGGGATTTTGGAAGCAAATATATTGTTTATAACAACAAAACAGAGCAAGCTCAAAAGTTGTGTGAGAAATTATGCAGGGATGAATAAATATTCTTAAAAATTAAAAATAAATCCTTTCTCCAAGTTTTACGAGGATCTGCCGATATTTAACCCTCTAAAGGCAGACTATTCCTTTTTTAGCGGTAATTTCTTTATGATTAAAATAAGTAAGGAGTAAGAGTTATATTCGGCAAATCATTTGTCGTAAAAAAGCAAATTTCGGAAGTGGTCATATACATACATATATATATGAACTTTCATTAGATTAATAAGAACGTCACCGTGATTTTCGGATTAGGGACTTAAATGTGGAATTGGATCAATTATGGACAAAGTTCTCTATAATTTAAAGTATTTTTTTTAATTCTACCATAATTCTATCATAATGATAACTTTTGGAATGATGTATTGGCTATAAACTGATTTTCTGTAAGAGGGTTATATTGGCGGACCGATCCTCATAATTTTATTTTTCATAAATGTATGTTTCGGTTCCTAAAAATGTTTTTTTCGTCGACATCGACATTTGAAAGCCATTTATGTGCGTTTAAGTCATTTTCTGAAGAAGATTTTCATATACATATTTACATTATATATTTTCGTTCCAACAAATTTTTTTTTATTATGGTATTATTAAGTAGGTAGAAAACGTTAAAATCAATTATTGAAGGGGGCAGGGTCAATTATGGCCTATAGAGATTTCGATTGATATCGAGCCCTTTTTGCAAAATGGACGTAAGCGAGATAAATTTTCGTTCAATTAGGATACTGCGTGTTTAATTTTATGTTTATATATTCAATATTTTAGAAAATTCAAATAGGACCAGTTAAAGAACGAAAAATTACCAGAAATACTCCAGTTTAAATTTTCATTCACTCAAGTCCCTGATTGCTTAGTTTTATATTTTTAGGTTCATTATAATAGAAAATTCAAATAGTACCAGTTGAAGAACGAAAAAGTTCCAAAAAGTCCCGTTTTATATGTTTCACTTACTCCATGCCCTACAGGTTTAATTTCATGTCTATAGGTTCAATATTATAGAAAATTCAAAAAATACCTTTTGTACCAAAAGTACCAAAAAGTCCCCTTTTATATGTTATCACTTAATCCGGGCTGTATATTCCTAATTTCATGTTTCTAGGTTCAATATTATAAAAAATTCAAAAAGTACCAGTCGAAGAACGAAAAAGTACTAAAAAGTCCTTTTTTATAGATTATAATTTACTCCGGGCTCTACATATTTATTTTTATGTTTCTAGGTTAAATTTTATAGAAAACTCAAAAAGTACCTTTGTAGAACGAAAATGTTCCGAAAAGTCCCTTAATTATTAATTTCATGTTTCGATTTCAATATCATAGAAAACTCAAAAAGTACCAGTTGGAGAATGAAAAAGTACCAAAAAATATCACTTGGTACCGGTGTTCCAAATAACACCCCATTAGCATATTTAGTGTTTCTTGAATAAATCAAATTTCCCGTTTTTACCCTTTTTGGTCCTTTTTTCCTCCCCATTAACGAAATAAAAATTCTGTTCCAAAAAGTTGCAACATCGTATTGGGAGCCCGTTATTATGTATTCATATGTATAAGTTAATAAACCAAAAACAATGTTTTATAAAAAAGTACCAAAAATAGGTACAATTTTCACCCCTTAAACGTCCGAATATCCAAAAAAGTACTAAATTCATATTTTTATTTGTTCGTCAAGTTATGAAGGATTCAAAAATATTTTTTGAATGTTCTCAGGTTTAAAAGATACATGGGGTGTAAAAGAAGTACCAAATTACAGTTTTTACCCGTTTATTCCCCAAAGGGGCCGAATTTGAAAAAATTACCGGACACCTATCCGCTTTTTTTTAACAGCTTTAACTGTTTTTGTAACTTTTCTAGTTTAGGAGATTTGAGGTTACCGAATTTACGTTTTTACCCTTTTTTAATCCGCAAAAAATTCTAATTTCCTAAAATCCCGTTTATTGGAAACATTTGGTGGGAGACCAACCTCCTGCCCAAATTTCAGCTCTTAAAGAGGTTCAACCGTTTAGGCTCTACGATGATGAATCAGTCAGTCAGTAACGTTAGAATTTTATATACGTATGTATATAGATTTATAGATTATACTGTAAAAACATTGTAGTGTTCGACTTGAATTCAAGTTTCCTTTTCACTGGAGAATGCTATTGAATTAAAGTGTAATGAAAGTGTATTTCAACACTTGAAATTTGAATGTTTGACTGGAATTAAAGTTTAAAACAAGCAAACAAACAGCAAGAATGCTTTATTTGGTATAGTGTGACAACTATAAGGGATCTAAAGTCGACATAAAGCCCACAATGGTTAGTACATACCAATATTTTGCCCAAACAACATCTACATACCTAGCCAGGTTATATCCTCTAGGTCCGTGAAGACATTCTCTACAAAGCTATAAATTTGTATAAAAGGCGGCTTAACAATTGTTTCTTGTAAATATTCGGCAACCATAGTGTTTGGAGACAACAAGAGCTTCACTGAAAGGCACACCAGACATACATCGCGCTCTATTATGGGTGTATGTTAGTAATTCTGCTGAGATCAATGGTATAATAATAAGTATGTATCCCAATCAGTATGTATCCCAATAATAAGTATGTACGGCAATCAGCTTCCGTCCATTGCCTCTAGGTGATAATATACCATGTCACCACTAGCCGACCGACCACCACCCGCCTAGGTGACTAGGGAGGTATACAATTGCCACTCTCTTGTGGGCATTCTTCCAGGAGACCATCATGATGACTCCTCTTTCTTGAAAAGAAAGACGTTCTTTATAGACAAATAATTAATTAACACCATTACTTACATTTTGTAATCTTCTAGATCTTACAAACAGGCCAAATCAATCAATATTTTTAGTATTTACACTTAAATACTTTTTCAATAAACAATTATGTTATTTCCAAAACCAAAATTATATGTACATATAAATTTTTTAACTTTAAAAAAAATCAAACAATTTCCAAACTGAACACGTTACGTTCTACATTTGCTACAAACTCAAAATGTGTGTAAAATGGCAGAAGATCAAATAAAGAATTTGCAAAAATTGGCGCGAAAACATGCAACTGCGCGCAAAAATTGCAGAATTTTTCCTTCAAACTGATTTTGTTTGATGTCCTATTTAAAATACATTGGTTTGACGACGTAGGAAACTCTGGTTTGTCAAACAGCAATGTATTTTTCGTATTTCGTGTTTGCTACAAACATAAAGTGTTTGAAGTAAAAGCAGCGAAAAATTTTCGGCGGCGGCGGCTTTGACATTTTGTTCGGCGGCTAGGCTTTGTCGGCTTAACAGAATGAAATGTCAAAAATTCAGCTTCTTTTTAAGCTATTCACAGTAGCGTAATAACAAAACAGTGTTGGTAAGTAATTATTAAATATGTAACAAAGCAACCCTGTTAAAAGTAATTAACAGAACTCTGTTACACAGTAGTTTTTGCAACTGTTTATAATTTTAAAAAGTAAAATAAAATGCATAAAAAACGCTGCTTACTCCTTATGGAACTAAAACATTTATAGAAAAAAACAATAAAAAATAAACTATTTGATAAAACCAACAATAACCATCATTAATTTTCTGCTAAAAATTTGACATTTTTTATATAAAAAAGTAAAATGTCAAAACGACATAGAAATAGCAAAAACAAATCTTGTCATTTGTAAAAAAGATGGCCAACAGTGAAGTGAACAGTTAAGCAAAGTTTAGTTAAAATTGTTTTTTCTATAAACAAATTTAAAAAATTTAAACAAATTTGTACTTGAAGAAGTGTTTTAGTGTTCAAGCTTTAATTAATGATAAAAATTTAAAAAAAATTACTTCAATTTCCTTAAAAATCAAGAAATTTATAAACAGCTTGTGGCTGTTAGCAGAAAAATATTCCAGTTTTATATTAAATAGAGTTTTCTTGTAATAGTTTTACGTGTTATTGATAAACATTGCCTAAAATTTCATTTGTGAATTACAATCAAATTAAAATCATTTACATATAAATTTCACTTTATTGTAACAAAAAAAAAAAAAAAAACACAAAAAGTAGAAAATTTGGCGCAATTATTTATGCAAAACTTGTAAAGTGCAGCAACAAGTTTACATTTGTTTAGGTGTTTATTTGTGTGACCAAAAGTGCATAAGTGAAAGAAAAAACCACAAAATCCTAAACAAACTTGCAAAAACAACAACATTAAAACGGTAAAATAACTGATAAGAGATAAGTGACCAACAAACAACAACAATAACAACAG